TGCTTTCATCTCTGATCAAAAAATAATTCTATGTGTTTCCACAATAAAGAAACACACAAATGCTGCTCTGGGAAAAGATTAAAGGTGTAGAAACTTTTCTGTCTCCTGGACTTCTAAACAGGCATCGTGTTAACTCTCTGAACTGTGACCTCGGTGCTTGTAACAACACAGGCAAATCCAACACTCGGATTCAAATTTATCTTAGCCACTGAACTGCTACCAGGAATGAAGTTTGTTTTGAGGTCTTTGCATGTGCTACAGTACACACTGCACTTGTGAACCCCCAAGAGCTCCAAATGACACATTCTCAGCAGCGTGCTCTCTCCATTAAACAGGGACAGGGAAACAGCATGGCTTAAATCAGTGCTGGAAGCACAGACAGGACCAGACACAGGGCAGTGAGGAGGAGCAGATGGGAGGAACACCCACAGGTAACAGGTATTTGCCCTTTACCAGAGCTTCATTTTTCATGTTGGTGTTACTGTCACCAGAACGGGATAAGCAAGTATGTTCAAACTCTGTGCAGACTGTGTTTACTGAGAAGCCACTGATTTGAAGTTAATTTGTTAATGCAGCAAAACACATTGTTTCTAAAAGGTCAGCAGGTGAAGCTGTGTGGGAATATCAACTTAATTACCTGGGCTGTAGGGATGAATGGGCATGAACCAGCACACGGCTGCAGTGCTAAAAGCTGCTAAATTGCTATTCTAGGTGTTGTCCTAAATGTAGGTACTACTGCTTTTGCTATGAAGGGGAGAAATGTCTAAATTAGCACTTTCTCACCAATAGCTGTTTACCAGCATACCTTTTTCCTCTGGATATTTGCTTAATTGTCTTGTTCTAAATACTTCTGAAGCAACAAGACAGAAAATTTGCAGAAAGCCAATTTTATGACTGCAGATCTGGCACTGGTTTACTAATTATCAGACAAGTGACTTTAAGCTATGAGGTGCTGCTGGAGGAAGAATAATTTTACATTCACTTTTACACTATAAAAATACTACTAAAACATTAGAGATCCCACACCTCATAAAGTAGCTATTATATACCCCAGGAACTTTCATGATACAGCTATTCGGGTTTTTATACTAGTGAAAACATTGCAAAAGACATCATCTTTGGTCTGCAAGGTAATAGTTCATGAGCAGAACATTATCCCAAACTAATTGTGGAGGTCTTGAGATGTTTTTTAAAGTGGTATTCAAAGCAGAGCCTTTGTGAGTAAATTAGAGGTGGTAGTACATGTGCAGCAACAAGTGCAACCAGGAAGAAACGCATACAGGAAACGCAACTAGAAGCAAACTGGTTTGATAGTATGTATAGAAAGAGATGTTTCTCTTCCTCACTTAGCAGTGAGGGGTGTTTCCAGTAATTTCCAAAGCAAAGCTGTTCTACATATCCTATTTCTTTCAGAAATTGAGGACTGGTTTAAAAGCTGCTGGTGTGTTTTAAAGCCAAGCAGACATGGGAAAGAGGTGCCCAGGCTCACACACATCAGGCTGCAGGAGCTCTGAAGTGCTGACTTTGAGAGAACATGCTGGACCTCAACTGAACACTATTGAAAAGAAAAAAAAGGGAGAAAATAACAACACTGAAAAATGTCTGGTACCTAAAAAGATTCAGTAGAGAAAGCAGATGGAAGCTACGAGGCAGCTGTTTTATTATCCACCCAGATCCCTGCACAGCGCACGCTGCGTTTTACATACTCCCATATGCACAGCTCACAAACTGGGATGACAGGAACAGTGTATGCTTTACAGCATATATTTTTAATTTACACTCTGAAATACTTCAACAGAAATCTGCTGGGTCCTGTGATAAAAATAATCCCCATGTTCTAAGGGATGCCTCATTCTTCAAGCCACATTTGTAGATTGGGAAGGTACAACGAGTCTGGCAAAAATGTAGCAATGCCTAGAGCCAAAACCCTAAAGCTGTAGGTGCACTACTGTGGGTTATTATTGTTGATAACTGATGCTATTCTAAAAACACATGGCTTAAATAATAAACTCCTGGGCTGTAGAACTGAAGGGCATTTTATTTCTTTTGTCTGCAATTACAGGGAAAAAGGAAGGATTTTGAGAATCAGAAGGATATATTTTCTCTGAGTGTTCAGGAGACTTAAACAGGCCATTCCCAAAGCAGCATGTGTCATTCTGTGATGGAGAGAGGAAGCATGTTACCTAGCACTGGTTAACTTGGAATGGCATCTGTGGTTTAAAGACCTGCCAAGACTTCTGATCACTTCCCAGCTCCAGTGACAGGGCAGTTCCTGTCCTATGCAAACAAGCAGTAAAACCCACCAAAGGTGGTATCAGTAAAATCTGAGACTGTGACCACTTAGTTCTCTCTCACTTTCTGTCTGCTGTGTGGCTGGAAACCAACCCTGACCTCCTCTCGCCTATATGTGCATTCACATCTTCTAAAAAATGTCAAACACCCCTAACCATTAAGCTGATATTACTGGACACTTTGCAGGTCAAAGACTCTGACATTTTCCAAAGGAGGTGCCTGTCAGCAGGTGTTATTCAGCTGGCACAGAGCCCTGGTGCTGCAGACCACTGTGCACTTAGCTATATGCAGCAGGTACCTCTTCCCACAGGAAACAGACGCCTCCAGAACACAAAGCGTCTAACTCAATTGAGAGTCATTCTGGCTCAGAGGCCTCCCACGTGTTGTTTCCATCTTGTTTCCGTGCAGAGAGGCCTTAGCTAAGAATCCTGCTGCAGACAGGTACCTACACAAGCCAGGAGCAGGTCAGTGCTCTGCTAATCCACTTTCCACCTGCTCTGCTCTGGTTCTGCAGAGCTTTGACATCACTGCTCCTTGCTGGGCCTTCCTTTGGCAATTTCCTCCAGCAGTCACTGTTGTTGGGCAAGGAATTCATTTGCAGTGATTCACTGCCTTAAATGCACACACCAGGTTTTTGTTCTGAGCAGGAATTAGAGACAAATCAAAGAAATCTGTACTTGCAGAATGGACTTTGAGTGAATTTCTTTGAGACACTCCCTCTGACACAGAACACTGCAGCCCATTTTACCTGCTCACCTTGTCCCCCCTAAGGCAACCACTGGTGACTTGGTATAATTTCTTGCTATTTCTTTGATATTTTGGCACCTCTTTGCACTTCATCTTTGGCACCAATTCTTTTCTGGACCCTGTAGTAACAGCAGAATCCTGTGTTGACAATGCCCATGCCTCAATCCTAGATGGATAACTCAGCGAACGCACTGTGTCCACAGCACTCAGCCAGGGCCAACACCCAGACAAGAGCACATTCCATGGACACTCCATCACACAACAAGCCTTACCCTGAAAGCAGCACAACCTTTGCTTGCCCAGAAAGAGCATAAACTCCCCACTGCCTGTGACTTTCCCACATGGTGAAAGGACCATGAAGGAACACTCCCTTCACTCAT